AATTAAAAAAAAAAAACAAATAAAATAAATTGATAGTGTAATGACCTGCCAGAACACAGACTGAGAACATTGCTGATTTCTGAGTTTTGCCTATGGAATGGATGCCTTGCTGAGATTCCCGCATTCGGCTGAGTTTTCTAAGTCTGTGTGTGTGCGTGCTTGTTGACCTGCGTGCTTGTAGGCATGAGTGTGTGTGTGGACCGCAAGGGTACTTGCTTGTTTGGGATGCCCGTAGGGCCGGTACTTGCCTGTGGCTGTGACATTGAGGGTTGCAGGAGGGAAAACACTGGAGCCAGAGGCCCACGACACTTGGAGCAGCGGAAAAACACTCAAGTAGCAGGTAGGCCGGTACGGCACCCAGTAGAAGTAGATGTGCTGGGTACTCGAGGCCGAGCAGACGAAGACAAAGTTGGCATTTTTAGAGGCCCAGTAGCGGTAGGCTAGGTCTAGGCGGGTACCAGTCCATCCAGTTTGAGTCTAGGGCCTGTACGGGCAATATCACAGTCTGCAATGATGTTTCCCTCTGAAAGGGAGGAGGTACCGGTTGCTTGGGAGGCCGAGCGGCCTGGAAGTCACCGCCAGGAGGCATGTAGACCGCTAAATCTGGAGGCTGAAAAAGCCCGGGAGCTTCCACCTTGGCTATGGTGGAGCTATAAAATAAAGGTACCGATAGCTTGTCCGAGGAGGGAGAAGAGGACCAAGGAGGAGAGTGGCGAGGTACCTACCTGGCTATGGTGGACACCATCTTTATCACCTTCTTAGGCGCTGCATCTGGAAGGCCCCAGTTGGGGTAGTGCCGCATCAAGGAAGCTCAGGACAGAGTCAGGCATGATAGGTGAATGGGCAGCGGCATAGATGCCTGGTGTTGACCTTGGACAAGAGGGCAGCGACATAGCTGCTTTGGGTTGTCCTTTGGACAGGAGGGTAGAGCCCTCAGTACTCCGCCGTGGCCTCGGCCTACATGAAGAGGAAGAGGAAGGGTGGCCATGGCTATGGTGGACCTCATGTTTTGCCTGCAGTAGAAGAGGGATTCGGACATTGATTGTGGTTCAGCCATTCAACATTATTATTGCTTTTTCTTGTTTGTATAAGAGGAGAGGAGATAAGGATGAGGCGAGTGGTTGGCGAAGGAGAAGAGCATTGTCATTGGCCTATGCTGGAGTACATCATCTTCTTCTTTTTTTCTTTCTTCTTCTTCTTCTTCTTCTTCTTCTTCTTCTTCTTCTTCGTCTTCTTCTTTCCCTCTCTCCTCTCAAGTTCATTCATTTCTTTTTGCAATTGGACGACATTGTACTTTCTGATGAATGTATACTTCGAAATTGGCCAGGAGGAGAGTAGTTGGCGAACAAGAAGAGCATTTTGTCATTGGCCTATGCTGGAGTACATCATCTTCTTCTTTCTTTCTTCTTCTTCTTCTTTCCCTCTCTCCTCTCAAGTTCATTCATTTCTTTTTGCAATTGGACGGGCATTGTACTTTCTGATGAATGTATACTTCGAAATTGGCCAGGATCGTAACAACACGCATGCATTGACAAAAGCATGCAATGATAGGAAAACATAGTAAAATTTAATCCAGATTAAGTGGATCCCTGACCTGTTTTGATTGCTTCCGATGATCGTCCCAGGGGGTTTCTTCCACCTGCATCCCCCACATTCCCTACTCGCCATCAACCCTCCTCAGTTGCACCGTCCGCATGCCGGAAACGCCGACTGCACCGTCGGTCCTGAAGGCAACCACACGGCATCCATACAAAGTAGGTTGATCATAAAGTTTCTCGGAAAACACAGCAAACAGACAGCCTCAAAACAAGAACCCCCCCCCCTCCTCCCCCACCTCTCTCCCATTCATCTTTTTTTTTATTTGCTTGTGAAGCCGCAACAGTTACCCTTGTGCTTCCTGAATTGTTCTGATTCTGATGGCCCCAAATATGTTATTTTAATTGTCCTTGCAGCCTGAGAGTGTTCGGGAGATCACAGATCTTCTTGATGCGGTTGGCAACACAACGAAGGCAACTACAAAAGGTTTCTCCATCGGGTCTGCAGCGCTTGCTGCCTTCCTTTTGTTCAGTGCATACATGGATGAGGTATCGAGCTTCACTGGCGTGAGCTTCCGAGAGGTCGACATTGCCATTCCTGAAGTCTGGCTTGGTGGGTTGCTGGGTGCAATGCTCATCTTCCTTTTCAGTGCCTGGTCATGTGTAGCAGTAGGAAGATCTGCACAAGCAGTGGTGAATGAAGTCCGTCGGCAGTTCGTGGAGCGTCCGGGCATCATGGTAAGCAAAGGACATAAATGTTGTGGGCCAGGAAGGTCTCCCTGCATTCTGAGTATAAGACCATTGACGCCGTTGACTTTTCTAGGTTACAATAGTGGACAGTCGCTCCTCTTTCGGTTGATTTCAGTGGCTGGCATGGATTCATCTGGGATTCTGAACACAGCACTGTTCTTTGTGGTTTTGGAAATGTCATGCATTGATCGCCCTATTGGCTCTCTGGCCCGATTCTAAGGGTCGTACGTCCATAAAGCGGGAAATGTTCCCAGCGCGCTTGGAGGTTTCCTTCCCCCTGTACGCCAAAGAAAAGACAAGCCGACGCATTTGCCTTTTGGCTGGCACCGCCAGCCATTTAGCACCGGTAGGCCATGGCCCAAAGTCGCAGCCCATGCGCGACCACGTTATTTCAATTGTCCTGGAAGGGCCCATTGGCTTTTGGGGATATCCTGCCCCTTGCCATGCCACGTCACTACTTTGTCCTCTTCTTGTGTCTTAGCTCCCCCATTTTTCTTCATGAAGGATTGCCCAGCTGAGTACAACTTGTCGGGCTGGAGAGGGCATTTTTGTGATTGTGTTTTACCTACCTGCCACTTGTGGAAGGCTCAGGAGAGTTATGACAATGGGAATTGCAGCAGGTTTGAGACCGGGATTGGGGCCAGGATCGGGACCAGGATCGGGACAGATCTCTTAGCTAAAAAATGGGATTTCTTTTTCAGAAGTTTTTCTATTCTGCGCAGGGTTGCTTACCTGCCGACTGCCTTCCCCGACCGCCGACCGTTTTGCAGCCGACCAGCCGGCGGTCTGCCGACCAGTCAGAAAACAGCCATCCACCAATTATTTTTCAGATCTGAGTTGGGAGCTGTACTGCGCTTGCTGAGTACAGCCCAAATCCGCTGAGAAACTTTTGGGGATGGGGGGTTTTGGGGGGGGGGAATAGGAGGGGTATAGGGAGTATTGRGGGGGGAAAGGGGGGGKGTATGRGGGKGTCKGGGGGTGTTGGASGGGKGTGTGGAGGKATGGGGGGKGGGTATGGGGGTGTTGGTGGGGTTATTGGGGTTCTGGAACCTTTTTTTGTTTTTTTTGGGGGGGGTAGGGGGGTTGTTGACAACCGGGACTGGTAGGTGCTGACCAGTCAAGGGGCGCCAACCGTCGGGTTATGCAACACTGATTCTATGGGCAATGGCAGTCCGAAGGGTGCCAACTAGTCAGACATCTGTGGAGGGTGGCTGAGTGAAGGTATAACCTTGTACAGTGAGACAGTACGTTATCTTTCGGCCCCCTTTTCTGTCTTGCGGCAGGAAAGCCGTAGTTTTGTGACCTTTTCCCTGGACGTTTCAGACTGTGTGCAGCGGCATAGCACATTAGGAACCATGGTCTCTTGCTTGAGGAGGAATGACTGTCTTTATTTGTTTTTTGATCTGTATGACAAAATCATGGGCATTCCGTGGCTGTACCTGTCCTGTGTGTCAACCATACGAGCTTCACCATGAGTTTCTGAATTATGATGGACACTGTAATCTTAGGGGCTACGCCCTTTCTTTGAGATAAAAGCATGGGCATTCCATGGTTGTCGGCATTTTTTCTCCTGTTTTTGTCTTGCCCACTGATATACTTATCTTGTCTCTCTGGCTATCTATCTGTCTGTCTCTGAATTCACTGTGCCTACAGACGTACCAAGCAAAACCTGATTACGCACGATGTGTATCTATTGTCGCATCATCAGCACTGCAAGAAATGATCAAGCCTGGTGTGCTTGCAGTTGGCTCACCCATTGTGATAGGTTTGTATACATTGCCCCAATCTTTTTTTTTCGTTAAAAAAAAAAAAAAAAATCTTTCTTTTTAGTTGTAGACAATGAGAGGTAATGCTTATTTTGGGGAGAAGCATCTGGTTCCATTTCCTCCCGCAAGTCAGAAATGAATACACCTCGACAGTACGCTTCCCCACGTTCCGGCCTGGGCAGCCCTGGCAGCGTTGATTACTTCCCGATCTGACCGGGAAGGATTGACTGTCAGTCGAGCGCATGCTGGTGTCCATCCCCTCCCCCTGGCAAATGTACCCTTTCCAAAAAACAACATTGGGCCAACCTTCGTCCTTTCCATCTGTGGTTCTTATCACTTCATTGCTCTCTCCTTGCTCCTTGTGTCCTGAACAGCCTTGCTTCTAAAGGAGCCTCTTCTCTTTCCTGTGTCTCCAGAACAAATCATGGGTCCAGCAAACCCGTGAGGGTGCAAAGGAGGAGAAGCTATACGTGGGTTACGGCCACAGGGTTCCGTCACATCTGAGATGAAAACTGCTTGGTAAGAGTGTTGGCTGGTCAGTCATTATGATACATGCCCAGTTGGGCAATGTATGTACAGCCAAGGATCTGCAATGTGATGAAGAGGACTGAATGGACAATGCAATGTTAGTGAAACATCAACAGGCAATGTACACCCCGATACATACAAAATGGCACAAAATCGTGCAGTGGAAGACTTTGAGGTAAGTCCTGACCTGACCGGGACTGACGCGACACCCCATCACTCGTCACACATCTGAGAGAGGAGGCACCACACACATAGAAGAAAGGTCTGTTACGATCCTGGTGAATTTCGAAGTATACATTCATCAGAAAGTACAATGCCGTCCCATTGCAAAAAGAAATGAATGAACTTGAGAGGAAAGAGAGGGAAAGAAGAAGAAGAAGAAAGAAAGAAGAAGAAGATGATGTACTCCAGCATAGACCAAAGATAATGCTCTTCTTCTCCGCCAACCAGTCTCCTCCTCCTTATCTCCTCCCCTCTTATTGAAACAAGGAATAGCGATAATAATGTTGAATGGCTGAATCCCTCTTCTACTGCAGGCACAACATGAGGTCCACCATAGCCAGGGCCACCCTTCCTCTTCCTCTTCATGTAGGCCGAGGCTATGGCCGAGTACTGAGGGCTCTACCCTCCTGTCCAAAGGACAACCCAAAGCAGCTATGTCGTTGCCCTCCTGTCCCGAGGTCAACACCAAGCAGCTATGCCGCTGCCCATTCAGCTGCCATGCCTGACTCTGTCCCGAGCTTCCTTGATGCGGCAATACCCCAACTGGGGCCTTCCAGATGCAGCGCGTAAGAAGGTGATGAAGATGGTGTCCACTATAGCCAGGTAGGTACCTCGCCACTCTCCTCCTTGGTCCTCTTCTCCCTCCTCCTCCTACCGGTAGAGCTCCACCATAGCCAAGGTGGAAGCTCCTGGGCTTCTCCTCCCAGCAGCGCTGTAGTAGCCAGCGCTCGGCCAGCCAGTGCTCCAGCAGCGTGTCACCAAACTTGCACACTGAAGAATGAGGCTGGGCTCTTCGCGCAGCCTCTAGATAAAGAGGCCTACTTGCCTCCTTGGCGGTGACTTCCAGGCCGTTCGGCCTCCCAAGCAACCGGTACCTCCTTTCGGAGGGAAACATCATTGCAGACTCTGATATTGCCCGTACAGGCTCTAGACCCAGACTGGATGGACTGGTACCGGTCTAGACCTAGCCTACCGCTACTGGGCCTAAAAAAATGTCAACTTTGTCTTTTTCTGCTCGGCCTCAAGTACCCGACACATCTGCTTCTACTGGGTGCGGTACCGGCCTTCCTGCTACTTTAGTGTTTTTCCGCTGCTCTAATCGCCGCAGGCCTCTGGCTCCGCTACTTGAGTGTTTTCCCTGCTGCATCCCTCAATATCACGGCCACAGGTAAGCACTGGCCCTAAGGGCCTCCCAAACAAGCAATTACCCTTGTGGGTCACACACACACTCAGACCGGCACGCAGGTCAACAAGCACGCACACATACAGACTTAGAAAACTCAGCATAATGCGAGAATCTCAGCAAGGCAACCATTCCATCGGCAGAACTTCAGAAATCAACAGTGTTATCAGTCTGTGTTATGACGGGTCATTACAGGTCCCTCCTTTGTACACACACATGGGGAGATACCACAGATGAGGGATGGGGGAAGAGGAGAGATAAAGATGGAGGCGAGGGAGAAGACCAAGATCGCAATAGCGAGTCCAAAAGTAGTCCCTTGCCGATGTCCAATCAATGTCTGCCTCAAGAATGTCGAATCAGATCCTGGGCCTTCTGCGCATACTAGACTCTGCCTGTATCCTCTGCATGTAATCCCTCTCACTCTCGTATCTGAAGAAGAAGATGGAGGATGAGGTGGAAGGAGGAGGAAGGAGGAGAGAGGGAGACGAGATGGAGGGCGAGATGGAAGAAGAAGATGTCGCCCTCCTCGCTGCCTCAACTGCAGGTAACTGCTGCCGTACTGACTGTTGTGGTCGTCCAGTGCAGGTACCGCGTGGAGCCCCAGCTATGGTGCCAGGTAAGGTCGCCACTACAGGTTTGGCCTCTGCCTCTCTCTACCTCCTACGCCTCTCCTTCCCAGCCTTGCAGCACAGCGGCAAAATAGCGCAGCCTCCAATCAGCAGCGTGTCGCTCAAGAAGTGAGCTACCCGAACTGTCCCCAGCCCAGCCTCAGCCCGGGCATAAGTAGCGCTGGGCCTGCTGGGCATCCTCAGGTATTGGCCTCAAAACGGCCTACTTGGTCTGGGCCCCTACCGAGTATCCAGACCGCGCTGCTGATGCAGCGAGGCGCCAAAACGCGCCTGGCCTATACCTGCCCAAGGCGTCGCCTTGGGGCCTGTAAGTTCGAAACGACATCTGCACAGACAAAAATGAGACAGCACGTAAATAAATAAATAACTGAGTGCTGCCTTAGGCTGTGCCTGCGGCCTAAAAGGCCGCTGTGGGCCTCCTGGGCGCGTTGTCGGAGGGCACGGTGTCTCCGCCCTCCATGGTGTAGTACCAGGCTCCCTGCTTGAGGACCTCTGCGATGTTGTACCTGACTCCGTGTTTGGGGATCCCCGCGGCATGCTCAAATTATTTGGGTTGCACCTCGCTACGGGATCGGTCCGGTTGGGGTACCCCAGAAAACGGCCTGCCTGTGACCGTGGTGGCCGCTGGGGTCACCCAGGGATGCGACACTGGAAAACGGTGCAGTTCTCTCAACTGCGCGCCAGCCTCTGCTGTCAGAATTATGGGGTAGGCACAAAAGAAGGGGGGAAGAAAAATAAAATAAAAAGAAAAGGGGGGGGGGGAATTTGGGAATAAAGGTCTTACCGTTGGATGTCAAATCAGACAGCCAATAGCTGTGGCGGTGCTAGGATGGATGACTCCAACTGAAATGAAATGTAAATGGACGGGCGCAGCATTGACTGTTACCGCCGCGAAGCGGCGGCCTATTTAATTTCATTTGGTGATCACGGGGGGCACGCAACCCGTGCCGCTGGCCCGGCGGAAACATCAGGAGGCACGCAGTGTTAGCCCGTCTGGGAGTGTTATGCGTTCTAGGATCCCTCCTTTTCCCTCTCTTTTCGTTTATTGGTCCCCCTTTTCTTTAATTTCAGCTTTTCTGAATTCTAGTTCCCCGCCTAGTCAAGCCGCGAGTTTGAATTGTGATTCAAAAGCGGGTGGCCTGGACTGACCGACCCTCTATTTCAGCCGTCATGAGTTCGACCGGTGAGGTACTACCAATGTAGGGTCCCAAAATGGGAGCACTTGCGGCCGCATCGGTAGGAGACTCATCACCTCCTGCGAAAGGTCATGAGTCCGCTCCTTACCATCGGACACGGGTACGCATCCGGGGTAGTCTGACTGCGTGTTTTGAAGAAAGGAGGGTGGCCGTTGGTATCCGTTTATGGGACCACCGCTTCAGGTCTGTGATCATTGCACGACAAAGCGGAAGGATTGGTGATTGATAGCACAGAGGGTTCCGCTAGGGCAACGGCTGTTGAGATTCAGCCTTTCATTTTCCTCTTTTTTTATTTATCTTATTATTCCTTGAAATTTGGTTACTAGTGAACGAAATCGGGAAGGCTGCCTAAGTCCCTCATTCAGAACCCAGGGATCGCGGCGTGTAGCGATCCTATAAAGAAGTGAAGGGGCCGGGCCATTGGCTACTGGCCAGTGGGTGTGCACAAGCAGCCCCGACTTGCCGGCTTTGATAGTCTGAGGCCGGAGGGCAGAACGGCGAAGTGAGCAGGTGGTAGGCTGTTTGTGTGCGGGGCCTTGTACGCCTATAGGCCGGATTGTTGGAACCTCATAACGCGCTGGTCCCCGATGTCCGGGGAGGGCCCCTGGATCATGACCATGCTAAACTACGATGGGGGAGATGAGGCAAAACTAAAGATCAATGTGGAGGGAGCGAGAGAGCGAGAGATGAGAATTAACCCGAAGTGACAGGCAGCGGTCACAGAAGCACCTCCACCGGTATAGCAGAGCGTGAACAAAAGCATTTGGATCACGATTCTGGGGGAGAACGAAGTCAGTGCTGCCGGAACGTTTTCCTGGCATGGACTGGAGCAGTGGCAGAAGGACCGCCTGTCTGCTGAAGCAGTGGAAGACGGCCCAGAGGCCGTCTCGCGATGTCAATGAGACCAGGGCCGCTAGGCGGTTGCAAGCGGGCGGGCAGTTGCAATTGAGGGAGAGGGCGAGAGAGAGTACGCGCAGAAGTTAGACATGAAAGAGAGAACGGGGTTGACGTCGTTCTCTCGTGAGCTCTCGCGAGTTCTTTGGGAGTGAAGCGCCTGGCCTCGTAGTGGGACACGCCAGTACACGCAGAGAGAAAGGGGGCATTTTCAATCATGCTCGGGAGGGGTGAGTGAAGACAGACGCGCGCCCAGTTTTCCTTTGCAGTTGACGTCAACCATGGTAGGTGAGCTCAGCTTGCTCCTGATCAAGCCGAGGAATCAGTGGAGCAAGAAAGGGCTGTTAGCAGTAACGACAATCATGTACCTTGCATGCTCGGATGGCATCGTCTATTAAGGGGAGAAGAGGGACCCTCCGCGACCAATTCGGCTGACGTCAACCGCGCCTATCCAATTTGTCATCGTGGTCACCATAGCAAAGAGGTGCGAGCGAATTATCGAGGTATCAAGCACAAGAAGAAGCGAGGCGACAATGAAGAGGAAAGAAAACGAGCTTCGTCAATACTTGAGCAAGAGGAGAATCAGTGAGGGAAGTACGAACTGACCCGTACATCAGCTGATAGTGAGCAGGGGATACTATCTGGACTGTTCCCAGAATGTATAAGCGTGACGGAAACCCGCGTGCCCGGTATACCTTACATCGTTTGAATTCACGAGTCATGTGTAATAGCTCGAGAAGACGCAGGTAATCGAGTTTACTGCCGACAGTGTCTTGACTTGACCTTCAGGTTATCCGGGTTCAACGAAACAACTGGCCATAAGATGATGTTATCCATGAGCTTCAGTGTGAGTACGGGTTGAACTGAAAGCTAGTATGACTCGTAGGTGGGATCTGCCCAGCCTTAGGAAAACCACCTACGTCACTGGTCCTAGCTCCTTGGCGCAGCAGTCGCCGTCGTAGAGAGCTCGTATCGTGTTGAATATGGCAGTGAGATGACTGCGTGCCAAGAAACGGGTGCCACAGTGTTCGAAGTATTAATGATATGGATAAGAGAAGCTGAATCAAAGGGCAAACGACTTCTCTGCTGCTCTGTGTGATTGCATGGTTTACTTCTACTGTAGCGGTAATGCGTGTACCTCAGAGGGCATATGTCTCCTATATCGTCCTCAAAACAGTGATAGAGACAGGAGGAGGTAGCAGTACGGTAAAAGTTGTTAACTTCGTGTCTTAGTCCTTCGAGAGCGATTGGACTTTTGTGATGACTCGCCCAGACAGCTCTGCCCGTTAATCCAACTCTCATCAACCCGAAGGTCAACTAGAACAGGTCTATTCGTGACATGTGGGAAGCGGGAGACTATTATCTAGGCCCTGCATGAGTACGCTGTATCTGGTCGGGTGACCGCTAGACATCACCAAGTAAGCTGTTGTAGCCTTTCTATGGGCACGCATCAAACCCTAGCAAACAAAGTGAAAGGCGCCTGTGATCAAGCCATCCAGATAAGAAAACCTGTCACACTTCTCTTTCTGCCCATTCATTTTATGGCCTGGGTTTAATAAGGGTCTGTAATGCCGTGTGTTGTGCACTCTTGATTGCTCAAAGAAATTGCAATGTGCCCAGTCGTGATAATCAGTCGTCACTCGCAAAGACAAAATAGACGAACGCTGCTGATAAATCATAATAATAATGATCCCAAAATGAGAGAGAATGCATACACARACGAGAGAGGGAGGAGGGAGAATAGACTTTGAGAGGGTGGAAGAGTCTCCTCCCTACAGCCCACTTCCTCTTCGGGCACTTCCTCCTCCTAGCAGCATAATCGTGTCTCAATCAGAGATCCGGACATCCAAGACAATGTAGTCCAACAGTGCCACATGGCACCAGCAGACCAGTCATCAAGCAGCAGCGTGACGACGAAGTTGAAGACACCAGGTACGTATCACGACCCCAACCACAGTCCTGAATCCTCCTTCCGAGTACTTGTCAAGTAGAACAGCAATACAGGCGCCCAGCGCCTTCCACCTCAGCAGCAATACTACGTGGCAGCAGCCACGAAGATGACACGTGGCATCTGCCACGTCGACAATCCCTCAGACAGTAGTGCGCCAGCCAGCATGCTGGTCGCACAGCACACTCAAGCCACGAACCAGCGACGAGCGCCGGTCGTCAAGTTCTCCCCGCAGCGTCTCGCCAGCAAGACAGCATAGAGCCGGCGTTGACGCGAGAGCGTCGAGTCCCCATAGACTCCAGACGAGAGTCTAGATGTCAAAGCCARGAARWCAGCCCAATATGTAGTGTTGACGGCGGGGTCTGGGCCCCAGTCCTCAAGTCAGACACGGCCGAGATCGATTRTCGTCGACGGYCTGGATTGRGTTGAAACTGTATCCTCCTTGGTCCACYGTTCTGACTGGGTACCTGCACTCATACAAGTYGATGCACACGACCAAGGGCCTGGGCGAGGTTCCTGGACCTACAGTTCACTTTGACCTTTGAATTTCTTGCTGTGCGCGGTCACACAGTCACCCGCAGCGGCCTGAGGCCGAGCAGCGCGTGGTCGCACTGCTCGCTGGGCCTGGGCTTGGGTTACAGCGCCCAGGCCGCTGCTGAACGCGGTTTACTGCAAAATTATGAGGCAGATTAAAGTTGTCAAGTCACGAAAGAAGAGTTTTGCTTGCTGCGCTTGTTCATCATGTTCTGAGTTTTCAATATGAGAGAACAATTTAGCTAAAAGGTCAGTAGCTCATGTATGTTGTCAGATGGGCAGGAAACGAAGCATTTTAAGGAAAATTATTTATCTGCTGGCCAAGCTCCTCGTGGATGGAGACTAGGAATTACTCCTCATATCAATCACATTGCAGATAGGCCCTGCTATGTAACTCGTGTTATGTCACGGGGTAGCAAAGTTGTGGTTTAAGCCTATGTGCTCTATGTGAACGAGGTCAGCTTTAACTGCGCCCAGTGCTATGCTCAAACAGGGCTTGCTGTGGTTGGTGTTCAAATCTGTAGTCAGCTACAAGATCATCTTGGGTCATGTCCCGGGCAGATGAATCGACAGCACCTGGGGAAGATACTTGTCATCTTTTCGAATGTACGCGGATAGACTTTGCCAGATCTTAATCAATGCGGGACGGGCAAATGGCATTTGTACCCTGGGGAACAAGTAAAGGCAGGCCCAAGCAGCAACCCCTTATAGCAAGTGTCCAACAGAGAAAACTGTGATGGGAAGCGTGCTGAGATATTGGATAACTAACTGCAGGCATAGGCAGATGAGAATTGGGTATCAGCAGGTCCTGTGCATGCATGCCAGCATACAAACACAGACGAGATCAAAGGACCTAACGAAACGAATTCGAAGTCTGACTTAAAGCCTCCCCGCAGAAGAGAGGCTCGAGGCCGGTGTCAAGACTCTAATTCAAAGAACAAAGTTCTAAAACAGAAGTTTGCAAACTGCGGGAATTTGGGGGGAAGCCTTGGTTCACGTGGGGGCCATACTTGAGCCGTCGACTATGGCAGCATGACTAAACCCCCGCACACAGTGCCATCAGAACGCACTCAATGGGTCATTTACTGGCCTGAGTTCCTGAAAAGCACAGACCTAAGACCCATGAACTTTGCATTACAAGCGTGGTTCTGACTATTGACTGAAAATCTTGACAGCAAAATGACTGGCAATCGGAACTTTTGGCAGAGGGTCCATCTTTAAGGAGCACACCTCGAGGCGGAAACCCCGTGACTCACTTTGAGGGATGACAGCTTGGGGCAGACTTTCCCTATGGTCAGGTGAGTCTGAGGGCTATGAGGATGGCAAGCAGAAGTGTTCCAATAGCAATGTGTGCTCTCTACTGAGGTAGGACGGAGGACTGAGTGAGTAGGCGAATTGAAGGTATTGAACCACGGTCAATTTTTTCCGTAGCCAGAACCTTGGGTGCAGAAGGAATCATGAAAGAATGGGAGATCCTAGTAATGAAATGCGGGGTTATTATGGACAAGCATGAAAATTGGGAAGCAGGGGCTATTTCGAGTATGGAACTCCAGAAAACGGTTTTGAGAGAGAAGGCAATCCGGAGAATTGAAGAAGAAAAATACATGGAGTACGTGTTCTACTTTCGCCATCAGAGTGGCAAGTTGCACAGTACCGGTTCGTGGCTAGAAACAGTGGAGCATGCCAGGGCGAGGCTCTAGTGAGCGCAAAGATGCTCTGACTCTTCTCTTGAATTCCCCACCAGCATCCCTCGTCAGCTGGACGCCACTTCGTAATCCGCAGTTCTCTCAACGTTCCGCTGCTAAGTGGTTAGTGTTCAATGACTTTGTTGTCGCAACAACATTCAGTCATCTGAGTTACCCAAAGGTTTCAGTCAGAACCAAACAGCTTTTAGTCATTGCCATTTGACACAGAGATCAGTGTTTGTCAGGAAGTGTCGTCATCCAAAGACAGAGATCGGCCTTTGTATCCACCCCAGCACATGAGTTTGGTCCAATCATTCTCAGTTCAGGAGACTGTCCTGACCAGTCTCAACAAGGTTGCTTCTAAGGATGCCTTTTAGTACCGGTATATCAGTGCAATCGGCTTTAAACGAGGAGATCTGTCAATCTTCGTTGTTCTCACCAGTTTCGCAGCAGATAACATCTGTGACTTGAGGCTCTACGTAAAGAAGGGCAAAGAAACCCATGAGCTCTTTGATTCAGTCTGGATTTCAGCAGCAAAATATCTTGAGGTAAAGGAGAAAGAGCTTGACGAGAGTGGAAGGAAGCTGATCCGAAGCTTCGGACCCAAGCTTTGCACTGATTACCCTAGTTCTCTTGTCCCCTTCTCACAGATGGCTCCTGTTGGGGTGACTTGGTGGATCTAGCCAAGACATACATTTCCCCTGCAGAGATCGACTATGAGAGGGTGACTGAACTGTCAAAGTTCCGACATCTCAGGCGTCGGGTTTTCTCCTAGACCTATCTCCCTACTCTATGGGAGGAATTTTGTACTATGGTTGACTTTTGTGTTATGGGCCTGGGATGGAAGTGCTCATAGCTCGCAGGTTTTAGGTGGCTCTATATCCAGAGGCCACAATCTCAGGGAGTACGGGGACATGGCTCAAAGCACAGGAAACGCACGACCAAATGAGAGATTAAACGACCAGTACCTCGGCCTGCTATGTTTTTTTGGGGCGGCAGTATACGCGCCGCGACTTTCGGCGGTCGGTGGGCGGGGGACCGGTAAGTAAGGGGGGGGAAAAAAGAAAAAAAAGAAAAAAACGAGAAGGAACGAAAAGAAAATAAAAGAATGAAAGTCACAAGTTCCAAGTCGCTGCGCGTTGCGGTCTGGGGGGGAGAGAGAGAGAGAGAGAGAGAGHCGGCGCGTTGCACGGCCTGACGCGTGCAACGCACCGACTCCCTCTCTCTCTCTCTCTCTCTCTCTCTCTCTCGTGCGCGCGCGCGCTCGCACGCGGGGGCCAAGTCCCACTAGCAGCATTGAGCTACCTCAATGCCTGAATCTGGACGTTTTTGCGGTGATGTGTAGAAATGGTGTTGCGTTTCCTGAAATGCACATCTCCATGCGCGTTGAGGTTGCTCAACGCTGCTACCGTCTTCCCCCGAACACAACGCACCCTCATTTTGGTTGTATCTGGCCGGAAGTACAACTCGTATACATTCATTTTTTGGGTGCGTTATGTTCGGGGGAAGACGGTAGTGGGACTTGGCCCCCGTAAGAGAGAGAGAGAGAGAGAGAGAGAGAGAGAGGGAGTCGGCGCATTGCACGCGTCAGGCCGTGCAATGCGCCGGCTCTCTCTCTCTCTCTCTCTCTCTCTCTCTCTCTCTCTCTCACATGCAATGCGCCAGGCCGTGCAATGCGCTGGCTCTCTCTCTCTCTCTCTCTCTCTCTCTCTCTCTCTCTCTCTCTCTCTCTCTCTCACATGGGGGCCAAGTCCCACTAGCAGCGTTGAGCAACCTCAACGCCTGAATCTGGATGTGCTCATGGAGATGTGCATTTCAGGAAACTCAACACCATTTCTGCACATCACCGCAAAAACATCCAGATTCAGGCGTTGAGATAGCTCAACTCTGCTAGTGGAAGCCCCGGGGAACAATGCAGTGTCGGTTTTGCTTTTTCCGTTTTGTTTTTTTTTGTTTTTTTTTTCACGTATGAAGTTTTCTTTGTTTTTTTTTTTGTTTTTTTTTTTCATTTCATCCAATAAAATGTTTGTAAAATGCCTTGTCACGCATTTACCGGTAGTCGCTGGCTTGGCGTGGTAGCCGTAGGCTACGCCTACCAGTAGTTGCAGGGCCGGGCCGTCGACATCGGTAGGTACTGGTGGTTTAAGTATGTGACCTAGAGGGATGAGTGAGGACTCCTAACTAATGTTGGTCGTGTTTATTCATCTGTACTTTATGAGATTATTATGAGTTCTCACTTTTTCCTCATTTACCTTGTCTCTACCTGGAGTCAGTCGGCCCTGTCTCGTTTGCGTTGACTTTGCTGGTGATTGTGCTCCTTGATGATCTTGTCACGGTTCTCAAAACTAATGAATTGGCAAAATTGATACATGCATGGCACACTTGAATTTCATGATTGTTATTTGCATGATCTTTGTTGTTCCAAATCAAAATAAAAGATTCCTAAGACCGGGGACCGGCGAAGACCGCAATTGAAGGGTCTGGCTTGAAGCCGAACACACACAACAGGAAGGGATTTGCTTTATTTAATTTATTTATTTATTGCAAACAAACAAGCAACACAACCCTGCGTGACAGCCTGTTGGCTTTCTGGTCGCCCGAAGTGGCTTGACTAGAAAAAGTGTGACTGCGTGCTGGATGGCATGCGGCCTGAGACCCTTCAGCAAACGTCGGGCCCGACAAATGGGGCTCGTGTGCAGGCGCAGCATATAACACAACCATCGGTCATCAGATGAAAGAGTCTTTGAAATTGAGTGTTTAACTGAATCATTGGGAGGAGAATTGTGACATGAGTTTAACATTGACATCAGCAATTTGTGGTTTCAAAAGAGTGCCGACTCCTTTTCGGCATGCTTGCTATAGCAAAACACCAGTGCTCGACACAACTTGACATAATTCTGCTCGCTTGCATTGCATTGTAGACAGTCTTTTCTCTCCTCGCCTTGCATGCTTTGATACATTCTTAGAAGTGGGATTGTTGTGGTGATTGTTGCTGTGTGTTGTAGCTGATGTGTTTTGATTTTTTGACTAGGCCTATGCTCTGAACACATTAGCATGGAATAATGCGATACGGCTCTGGTCCTATTTCGTTGGTCTTTGTTTATAGAGACAGTTGGGCCTGTTGGGGCATATTTGTATTCCATCGTCGGAGGTGAAATTCTTATAGGCAGTGTTTCAATTCCTCCTTGTGTTTTTTTTTTTTTGGAGTTTGGCCAGCTGTTTTTTTTTTCTTCTTTTAAAACCGCTAGTACCTTTCTCGTTTCGGAAAATAAAGAGCCTTTGATCTTTCAGGAGGCCGAAACAAAATGATGGTCGTCGATGGCATGCTTGCTATAGCAAAAAACCATTGCTCAACACAACTTGACATAATTCTGCTCACTTGCATTGCATTGTAAACAGTCTTTTCTCTCCTCGCCTTGCATGCTTTGTTACATTCTTAGAAGTGGGATTGCTATGGTGATTGTTGCTATGTGTGGTAGCTGATGTGTTTCTATTTTTTGACTAGGCCTGTGCTCTGAACGCATTAGCATGGAATAATGTGATACGGCTCTGGTCCTATTTCATTGGTCTTTGAGATTGAAGTAATGATTATAAAGACGGTTGGGCCTGTTGGGGCATATTTGTATTCCATCTTCGGAGGTGAAATTATTGGATTTATGGATGATGAGCTTATAGGCAGTATTTCAATTCCTCCTTTTTTTTTCTTTTTTTTTTGGGTAGTTTTGCCAGCTGTTTTTTTTTTCTTCTTTTAAGACAAGCGAATACAAATTGTACTTACACAAACGCTCCTCCCCATTATGGCTGGAAGGTCCAAGCGTCCGACATTGATTACTTCCCTTGGGAAGGATTTACCACCCCTCACCCCTGTTTAAGTTAGCCTCATGATCTTAAAACCAATCAACGGGTCCACTCTAGCCCGACCTTGGAAAAACGTCTCTACTCCTCTCCCCGAGTGCCGATGTCAGCACTAGAATGTGCTGCCCCCCCCGGGTCAGTACTAGAATGTGCTGGCCCATGGGATACACCGGGGGGTTATGCGCCAAGCCCTCGATGACTCCTTGGTCTCCCGGCCAAAAAAACGGGTTTCTGCGCTCGCATGGTTGCTTTGGGACAGCCCATTATTCCTGCGTGCCATGGGTCGATGCTATCTGGTTTTGTGATAATATAGACTCTATGCTGGCCTTTGTCCTTGCTTCGAAGCTGGGTGTCCTCCCTTTGGCCCTCGGCATAACCCAATTGTGTGCCCTGCCTCTATGCACACCTAAGTCGGGGCCCCTCAATGCTGCCCATAAGCTCGTTTCCCAGGGTGTCTCTCGTGAAATTTTCCAAAATTTCTTGCGTTTTCTCTGGCTCGTGCTTAATCAACAACGTACTACTAAAGCTTAGTCTGGTTGGGCGTGACGCTGCGTGTTGAGCGCATTGGTTTTCCTGAAGTTTTGGCCATTGGATTTTGATATCACGGACAAGATTGCAGGAAACATGATTTTAACCGTTTTGCGCACTCTAAATTTGGGACAAGTATGCTTTTCTGGTTCTTGTGCTTGCGACACTTATCTTGCTTCTTTGCTCTCCTGTTTGCTTTTGCGCACTGTGTGTCGTTGATCTTTCCCACTATCAAATAGATTGTCCGCGAGTGGCGGCATCGTGACTAAAAACGCTGTCAGTTTTGGCAGGCGTGTCTGTTTTGTTTGTGTCAGTGGGCCTCGCTCTGCTACTCACCAAATTTGCAAAATGAGAACGAAGCTTCTGCTAGAACATAGAAAGATACACTAGCCAAAGATTCATTCTCATTTTGTGCATTTGGTGAGTAGTAGAGCTCACCCACTGACACACCTCCGAAAGAAAAAACTGACACGCCTGGCAGAATGAATCTTCGCCTAGAACATAGAAATATACACTCCCCAAAAAAAAACAAAAAAAAGATACATTGCCAATTATTTTGTCGTTCGTGCATATGGTGAGTAGTGGGGCGATGCCAATGTTCGTGGGCGCGTGTCAGTGGGCCTCCCTCCACTACTCACCAAATGTGCAAAATGAGAATGAATCTTCGTTGAAAACATAGAAATATACAGGGCCTCGCTCCACTACTCCCAAAAATGTGCAAAACGAGCGTGAATCTTCTGCTAGAACATGGAAAGATACAAGACCATGATTTTTGTCTTTGTCGAGAGTAGTGGAGTGAGGCCCACACTGCCAGTTTTCTTCTTTGCTAACATTTGCTTTTTTTTTCTGCGTGTGCTGAGTAGTGGAGCAAGGCCCAATGCTGGTTGGCGCTTGTCATTGAGCGTCGCTCCACGACTCACCAAATGTGCACACAGAGAGAGAGAGAGAGAGAGAGAGAGAGAGAGAGAGAGAGAGAGAGAGAGAGAGAGAGAGAGAGAGAGAGAGATGACAACCGAGTTGTGTGTCCGATGAAAGGAGAATGGACAAAATTGAACGTTTTTAAACCTGTTTAACGGGCCTGGGGACCCCCGTTGAATCGCATTTAACGCAAAAACGGGGGTGTCCCGTTGAATTTAAAAAAACAAAACCGGCGCGTTGGGCCTCGGGCACGTGCCCCTACGTGGCCAAACACTAAAACCGGAAAAACAACCCCCCCCGGGCCTCTCTTGGACCCTATGGGACCCAGCCAATTGGCCTTTAACGATGCCCTTGCAAGCGGCACGACCCCCCGACCTGCTAGCTGACCCGAACACGACACCAACACCCCCCCCCCCCCCCCCCCCCCCCCCCGACCCCCCCACCCCCCCCCCCCCCCCCCCCCCCCCCCCCCCCCCCCCCCCCCCCCCCCCCCCCCCCCCCCCCCCCCCCCCCCCCCCCCCCAACCAACCAATGTTAGGCAGCCTCCAAATCACCCCCGTGTCCACGAGTACCCCTTCTATGTCAAACACAGGCAAGTGTGAAACTTCACACTTGCGGCTTGCCTATGTTTGACAGGGGTATGCGTGGAGACGGTGGTGACGGCCAAACATTAAAAGTTAGTATTCTAGACTATATACATACATTCAGCAATTTACAAAGAAACAAAAAGAAAGCAATCACCAGACTTTGAAGGCAAAATAAACGAAGAAACAAATGAAATAGATGAACTTAAAAAGGAAAACAACAATTAAAGATATAAATTCACAAGATGACAAAAATGGACATGAAACGTTGTGCAACACTCGTACCTGAAATCATACATGGAACATGTAATGGGCATGAAAAGCAGTAAAGTACCAGTCACTAAAATCACACATGAAAAATATAACATAATAGAATGAATCCTACTAGTGCCACATACTGACTAATAGAAAACAGTACTGTACAAGTCGCGTCCACGGTGCCGACCCAACCTATTGTACAGACGCCCTACTCAAACCAGAATCAGACACACTAAAAACGAAGAAAACATCTATAGTTGCATCATGCACACTACCTGACTATTAGTGACTACTTGACAGCAATGAGATAAGAAAGCACGACCGTAAAAAGAAGAGCACAGAATACGACGAAGTCACGTGCAAGTAGGGGAAAGCGGACTGTTGGCGTCATGGTCATCAACCCCTCTGCCACTTTCCGCTATGCCTCCTCGTACCCCCCCGAGTGCCGGATGTCGACCTCCCCTTCCCTCATGTGGATGACGATGTCTGCCCAGAAGAAAGTCTTGAAGCATGCGTCGGTGAGGGGCGTGGGGGCTCATCCTCATTGTCGTCATCGTCATCGTCGTCGCCACTCTCACTCTCCTCCTCCTCACCCTCCTCCTCACCCTCATAGTCCTCATCATCCTCCCACACTGCCGGTGTCGTCTCAGGGTCATCCTCCTCGATGGTGACATGGTCGCCTCCCTTCCTCAACACAACAACCCTTGCACTAGCGTGTGCGATCATCTGCTGACGGCGGGATCCACGAGGCATCCCCAACCCCTCCGCCCCCGAAGACTCTCCAAGTGCAGCGCCTCCCTGTGCAGGCACGGGGCGTGGACGAGGCACTCCACGCTTGCGTGGAGTCTGCTCATGCACAACACGCGTCGCTGCTCTCAAAGCGTGGTCCAAGGTCGAGGTGGACTCTCCTCCACCTCGACCTCGTTGAGGCTCACAACCGGTTGTTGCAACCTCCCTCGCTGCGGTCGTCCTGCCGCCGCAGTGACCCAACCCCGGCTGAAGGCGAGAAGTGTACTCAGTGACACTGCGGGTGGAATACAAATTTATGTCTGTCCTCCCGTACAACGTTGTGTCGCCCACATCTCGCCCAACAACTGTCGTGTCATGAACCCTCGATCTCCCAGGGCGTGTGGAAGGAGAGCCTCGAGCAGTGGGCGACGACGATGGATCACCCTCACGTGGTCGAGGAGGAGGGGGTGGCATGTCTCCTGTACCTGGCCGTCTCTCTTGCACGCCCCCCGAAACCCCTGGAACATCTGCCCTGCTCGACCCTCCGCTGGAGGTAGACCCGGACCACACCGGTGACGCAGGGCCCCATGGAACCGAAGGAATCCTCTGCCATTTCGGCTGCTCGAGTTTCGGGTTAAATACCCGGTGGTCCAGTCGGGTCACATCGCGCACAACGGCCGCTGCCAACTCCTCGACATCCAATGGATGATCGACCTCCTACGGAGCCGGTCGTCGAGGACGTGGACGCACAACCATCGGCTTGGACCCCAATCCTTGATGATAATAGGTGGCACATAATGCATTGCCACCTCAGTCGGCTGTGATTGTCGGGCCTCGACCACGTGCAGGCTCGAGAACGGGACGACTGGACCCGTCTGTGTTTCCTGAGCTACCGTCGGCGCATCTCCAGGCCCCTCACATCGCCCCTCTCCACCCTCCATAGCCTCATCCACTAGCTCTGGCCCACCCTCCATACCCTCCTCCGCCTCTGCTGCCACGACCTCCATAGCGTCTTCCCCCACCATTGCCCCACCGTGCCCACCATCTCTCCGTCTCTCGACGCCTGCGCTCCTCCAAGGCTCGTGCAAACGCCTGAGCACGCGGGTCGCTGGATGCCATCGACCGAGCCCTCTCTCGCTCCATGATGTCGCGTGCTGCATCTGGAGACTTTGGCGTCGACCTGTCTCTTGGGGTCTGCGTCCCCGTCTCGCCTGGCGCATCGTCCCTCATGGCGCCCGATTTGTCGATGCTGCCCCGCCACAACTAGGGGGAAGGCCCGTCGACATGTCAAAGTCAAAGTGGGTCCCCATTTTCGAATCCGACATCCCTAACCCCCTCGCCACACCTGGGTGATACCCACCACGACCGGATCGAGCTCCTCCGTGATAAACTGCTGAGAGATGGTTAATGGAAGGCCCAAAATTCGAGGGTTTTCGCCGAATCACCACAAACAATGTCCTGAAACATTTCGCGAACAAACAATGCAGGAGCATAATAGAAACATCAAAAAATCAAACAAGCAAAAAAAAATGAATAAAAAAATCTCAAAAACACTATAAAACCCTATTTGGAGTAGCTTTCGGAGTTCGCCAAATGATTCTCCGAATTCGGTGTTTTTGCCAACTTTTTTGTTACTGGTTCAAATACGTTGAAACTGAATACAGATATACCCTAAAGCATATAGATATCACACAAAAAAAGAAACAAGAAAAAAATCAAAGATTCAGAGAAATATGGCAGTTTCGGTGAAAAATTCGCCGAAAATGACATCACCTATTAACCATTAGTGAAACTGCTGCATGAGGCGCTCCTCGAGGGCCTCACCACCCTCAGCGTCATCCGCACCATCACAGTGCATGGCAACATCCGACACCTGTGCCGCTGTTGCTATCTCCTCCTCCGCCGCTGCCACCTCCCCCTCCACTGTTGCTGCTGATGGTACCTCCTCCATCGCTGCTGCTGCTATCTCCTCCTCCATTGGTGCCACCTCCCCCTCCACTGCTGCTGCTGCTACTACGTCCCCCTCCGCTGCCACCTCCCCTTCCACTGCTGCCACCTCCCCCTCCACTGGTGCTGCTGATGGTACCCCCTCCTCTTGCAACATCCCCGTGGAAGGTGATCGTAACCTCAGCCGGCGGATCACCTCAGGTCTTTGCAGAAGTCTGTGCTGAGGTAAGGAGGATGCCCACTCCTCTGTGTCCACCGCTGCCGTGGCCAACTCATGTGGCGAGACAGGCGATGGCGGTGCAGAACTCGGAGCTGGAGGTGGCGGCATGGACGACTCTGGCCTCGTTGGAGCAGGAGTCGTCATCCGCGCCTCTGTCCGGCTCGTGCTTGCATGCGAGCCCCTGACTTAGATCACCCGTGGAAGCCACCTCCCCGAAAGGGCCCCAAAAATCCTCCTATCCCCCCAGCATCTCTCTATCTGACCGGTCCGCCGCCCATCGTGCGGTGTATGTCCTCGTCTCCTCGTCCTTGGGATCATCGTGCGTCTCATTGATCTCGCGCGGAATGCGAAGCGCAGAGTCATCTGCTGCCTCGGGTATCGGCTCGACATCCGAGTCATCCTCCCTGGTGTAGGGACGGAAAATGTAGGCACGTCGACCAAAAACGGCATCAACAGAGGGTTGTGCCGAAGCCCCGATGGGATCGCGCGTAATAAGCGCAACCTGCTGGGTAATCTCCTCCTCCGTCATCCCCCTGCGCGTGCCCATGCGCACCGGCTCCACCTCGAGTCGTGCCTGGCAGTCGAGCATGCCCTCGTCCCACTGCCATGGCAGCACATAATTGCATCCTGCCCCCCGATACTCTATCAACCGCACATTTGCGGTGATCTCAACTAGTTGCACGACCTTCTCGAAGGGCAACTGGTTGCGCTTCTTCGTATGGATGCCCTCGTGGACTGCCCAGTTCCTCTCCGCTCGAGAGGCGCAGGACCACAAGTGCATCACACGAAGAGCGTACCGCTGCAACTCAAGCGCACCAGCCCCTAACTTGAACCACCAAGACGCGCACTCGATAGTCTCGGCATCACCGCTGCACTCGAGCACGCCTCTCCGCCCCGCCCCAATCGCCAAACCTGCCCTGCTGCATGTGGAAGTCCTCAAATTGACGACAAGCAACGATGTAATCCGCACCGTCTAACTCGAAACCCGTCTGCGTCAGAATGTACTTTTTGGCTTGCCTCACTAGCCAAGCATGGTATTTTGCTACCTCGCCTGAAAAGTATTGAACATGTCGCCTGCGAGGTATCAGTAAGAACCCAGCGCAGTGAGTCGGCTCAAGCATGTGCTGTGTGCGGGCCTGCACACACCTGATGATCCAGTCAGCAAAGGACTGCCCCAAAGGACCGCATGCGTCCTTCACACGGTGGACAAAATCCTGTGTCCACTCGATCATGAGCGACATGAATTGACCTCCACGATCCATCCGCCTAAGCAACTGCATGACGGGCTCCATGATATGGGCGATGGTGGCCACCCTCTGCCACCAAGGATCCCATCTGATTTGTCGGTGCACCCAACGCGCCATGCTGCACACATTAGCGGACCACGGGATGGAAGTGAATGCCCGCGAGTCGTCCCCTCGCATCATGTCCCTGAGCATGTGCAAGAGAAATTTTGAGCTTGTGGTTGTGTATCTTGATGACATTCTGATTTTCAGCAAGTCCATGGAGGAGCACGTCAAGCATCTTGAGGAGGTCTTGCAAGTCCTCAAAGATGTTCAACTGCACCTCAACTTGGAGAAATCTGAGTTTGGCAGGGACAGCGTCATGTATCTTGGGCACCGGTTGTCTGCGAGCGGCCTTGAGCCGGAGGCAACCAAGGTTGAGGTCATCCGCAACTGGCCTCAACCGGCAAATGTACGTGAGCTGCATTCTTTTCTCGGTTTGGCTTCTTACTACTGGAAGTTTGTGCCTAAATTCTCGGTCATTGCTCATCCACTCTGACGCCTGACTAGTAAAAATGTTGCCTACGCGTGGTGTGAAAAGTGTGAGACTGCGTTCCAAGCCTTGAAAGAGGCGTTGGTGAGCCATCCTGTGCTCCGCATTGCGGATCCCAACCTCACGTTCGTAGTCACTACGGACGCGAGCCAGTTTGGGATTGGTGCAGTGCTGCAACAAGATGATGGCGATGGCCTGCGTCCGCTTGAATATTACAGCAAACGCATGCCCAGCCACAAGGTAGCCACTTCCACATACATGCGAGAGCTCTACGCCTTGTGCGAGGCGCTCACGCATTGGAAGCACTATCTCTTGGGTCGCCACTTCAAGGTCTACTCAGATCATCAGACCTTGCAGTGGATTAAGACACAAATCGATCTTTCTCCAACGATGACCCTCGCTGGTTGCATGATATTGATGTCTTCGACTTTGAATTGAAGCATAAGAAAGGCTGCTATAATCGTGTTGCTGATGCTCTATGACGCCATCCTGAGTATTTGACTTGCCTAGTGGATTCGTACGACCTCCACAGGAAACTGAAGGAGGATCTGATCGAACACACCGCCAAGGATCCGGACCTTAGTCCCATCCTTGAGCAACTCAAGACTGCCCCCAACAGCCAGCCTGATTTTCATGAATGCGATGGTCTTGTATTCCGCCGGTGCGGGAAATTTGATCGCTTGTGTGTTCCTAACCATGCGCCTCTCCGGACTCATTTCTTGGATTTGGCACATGGTCGGAGTGGGCATTTCGGCTTTGAGAAGACTTATGGAAGTCTTCTCCAGCAGTTTTATTGGCCGGGAATGAAGGGATCTGCTCAGAAATTTATTGCTGAGTGTCAAGTTTGTCAGAGAACCAAGGTCCACAGGCATAAGCCTTATGGCCTGCTGAGACCTCTCCCAATCCCTGATGGCCCCGGGGAATCGGTCTCTATCGATTTCACGGACATGGGGAAGGTGAGTACGGCAGGGAATTCACAAGTCATGGTCATTGTGGATCGCTTCTCTAAATTTCTGAATCTGATTCCTCTACCTCCTCATGCACCGACTGAAGTGGTGATCGAAGAGTTTCACCAGCAGTACATTCTGCAGTATGGGCCCTCGAAAACTCTTGTGAGTGATCGGGACACTAGATTTATCAGCAAGGATTGGAAGGACTTCACTGCCCAGATCTATGACATCAAACTGAACATGACTTCTGGTCGACACCCCGAAGCCAATGGATTGGCTGAGGAAATCAACCAGACCGGCACCCAGCTGCTGCGCGCATTGATTGTGCCAGATCAGAACACATGGGATAAGGACTTGCATAAAGTAAAGGGGCTGTACAACAACTCCATCCATTCTGCAACCGGTGTGACACCAAACCAGTTGCAGTATGGATGGCCAATGCGCAATCCCCTCTCCTACCTGTTCCCAGAACGGTCACCTGGTCTGATGCCCGGCATGCCTGGCTACAATGCCAAGTACGCACGCTTGCTCAAAGCTGTGGCCGCCGCCATGAACAAGCGCCAGCATGCCATGATTAAACATGCTAATAAGATGCGCTGAGAAGAGAAATTCAAAGTAGGAAATTATGTCTGGGTCAAAATGTCTGAATTTTTTGATGAAGAGGGCGTTTCACGGAAGCTTCTTCCACTATACTACGGCCCTTGGCAGATTCTGAAAGTGATTGGGGATGATTTCGGTCCTTCGTATGTGATTRAYGTGCCGCCTCATCTGCRCACGTACCCAGTCTTCCATGCCTCCAAACTGTTTCCGCACATTGATGATGAGACTTTTCCCTTCCGAGACCCTATGATACCTCGCCCTATCGATGGTGGCCATGAGATCGACAGAATCGTTTCTCACGAAGGGAGAGGGAGCAACAAACAATATAAAGTTCACTTCCTCTATCACCCGTTGAATGATTTTTTCTGGATCGATCGGAAAGAGCTGGTGAAGAGTGCGCCATGTGTTGTGAAAGCATATGAACGACAGATTGTTGATGGACAGACCGCCAAGTTTGCTGCAAAACTCACTCCGTTCGGTCTCACTAACACTCTCCTTTTGATCTATGCCTACGACGCCTTTTGTACCAACTCTGATTGAGCTACTCGCTTGAAGGGACCTCGCTCCGGAGAGGGGAGTAATGTAATGACCCGCCAAAAACACAGACTGAGAACACTGCCGATTTCTGGGATTTGTCACTAGAATGGATGCCTTGTTGTGATTCCCRCATTCTGYTGTGGTTCCAAGTCTGTGTGTGTGCGTGCCTGCTGGTTGCATGCCTGTCTGAGTGCTTGCTGGTTGTGTGTGTGTGCGTGCATGCCTGTCTGAGTGCTTGCCGGTGGGGTATGTGTGTGTTTGACCCGCAAGGGTACTTGTTGGTTGCAAGGCCCACCGGGCCGGTACTTACGTGTGGCCGTGACTCTGGAGGGTTGCAGGGGGGTAAAACACGCCGGTAGCGGGAGGTAGGCCCACGACACTTAGAGCAGCTGGGGAAAACACTCAAGTAGCAGGTAGGCCGAGCAGAAGAAGACAAAAAGTTGGCA